TTTTTTAAGAGGGGGGGGGGGGGGGGATAAGAACGAAAAAAAAAGCACGATAAAAACGAAATTTACTCTAAAATTTGACTTCATTCCTCTAAGTTACATAACGCATTCCTAAGTTTTTTTCTTGACGTTATAAGGAGCATTGATTCTGGATGGCGGTTAAATATATGCGGCACATAATACGCTCTCACACGCTCACCATACCTCGAAACGAAGAGATGGCCTCATTGGCCGCTGTTGAACATAGGGGGTTTGAAATTGGGGGGGGGGGGGGGGGGGGGGGGGGGGGGGGCTCCAGAATAGACGCGGCACGACGGTTTCCCTAAAAAGCCCCTCAAAATACGATATTTGAAGTTTTTGAAATATTTCTGCAGTGGCATGTCAAACCCGACACTTTTCAAAAATTCTTTTCAACAACGAATTAACTCTTGCGCGCCAGAACAACGAACATCCCATGAAAGCTGTTATGCCGTACCGTAAATAACTATATGCCAAATCCTGTGCTATCATTTTCCTAACAGAGAAAGGCAGAAACATTTTAACATTGTATAGTAAGCACGAAATGCTTCTTAACTTTTGCACAAATAGGTCAAAAGTGTACACCAGGATAAATCACTATCGATGTATATTCCGAGGTATTTTACAGATTTACACATTCAATAATTTCACAATCACAAGATCTGCAGCTGAATGTATGTAGCGCTACAGAAAGTGGGAGTTCAACCCGTTAAGTTAATTTTTAAAACAAACCAGTTTTGTCTTTGACGCATTCACCTTAATGAGGTTCGAAGTAAATTAGTCCATTCTACATGGGTATTTCCCGCTTGCAACATGAAATTCAACAATTGTCGTTGATCAAACAACATATGGTACTTACCCCATGGTGCCACATATATGAAAAGGGTTTGAGAAAAATCTCGGATAACACGATATTTCCACTCTTCAATGTCGACGGCAGTCACTCAACGACGATCGGATAGAACCAGGACTTGTTTTAGGGTACGTTTTGAGGAGAGCATGCATTTAGCGCAGCAACGAAGTAAATGAACAGACATGTCCGTTTCTTCCCCTACCCCGAACCCCACCAGCTATTTTCCACAAAAACCACGAATACTTTCAGGAGATTATCTCAGCAAAGGTAATAGTCAAGCCACGTCGAATGGCGCGCGTCACGGGCCCTGCTAATTCCTGGTCGTCACACCGGAAGACAACACAAATAGGGTAAGCGGCCTGAATACTTTCGGGAGATTATCTCAGCAAAGGTAATAGTCAAACTTCGTCGAATGGCGCGCGTCAAGGGCCCTGGTATTTCCAGGTCGTCACACCGGAAGACAACACAAATAAGGTAAGCGGCCTGAATAGGCAGATAAAGTACAATCTTTCAAGATATGGCGGAAAAGTCTGAATGCAAAACGCAGCTTGTGAGTCGAGTTGACTGGGTTTTGACAGCGCAAGCAATTTGGCAGAAACTTTAGCTAAGGAGAATTTCGGGAGTCGCCAAATAGCTGTGGCCTAAGAGCTCCTTATCAAATAGTCCATAGACGTCTGCTTTTCAATAGGCAAGGCAAAAAAAACAAAAAAACTTCCAAACACAAGTTTGCAGGAGGCTCGCTCGTGTCACTAGCGACAGAATGACATACCAAAATATGTATGCAAATCAACTGCAGAAGAAAAAAACACTTTATGAGCAGTCTGTCGTACGACAGACTGCTCATAAAGTGTTTTTTTTTTCTACTGGAGTTGATTAGCATGTTACAGTAACATATAAGAAACAAAATCCTTACTTTTTTTTTATTCGACGGCGACCGACCATTGCTTTCGGTGCCACCATTAAAAACAACAAAAGGTTACAGAAAATTAAAACAAAGCTGGGACGGTATGACTTTCTAAGAAATGAATGTACGCAAACGAGCTGGTTAAGAAACATCATAATCTAACACCCTGACGTTAGGAAGTTGGTCGGTTCCCGTGTTGTTGACGGAGATTATTTTTGCGGATGCTCGTTGTCGGAAGCGTGTCTATTGTTGTAGGGATTTAGCCTGTCACCTACGTCCGGTGAAATCTTCGTGACGTCATGTTCTGTTTTCTAGATCTTTTCTTGTTTTGGCGTGGTCAAATAAACTCAGCTATTCTCGAAATTCTTTGTTGTGTTGTCCTTTTTTCTCATAGTTTCTTGTCCCATGGTTTTAAGTTATTACGACTTTCTACGCTCTGCAATAGAGCAGCACCGTTGTACGTTAACGGAAGAGCTTTTAATAACATTGACTGGCAACATAAATAATAAAACAAACTCAGGACAAGGCACGACGAACATTTCTTTCCTTGTCCCGAGTTTGTTTTATTATTTCTTTAGCCAGTCGTTGCACAGACTGTCGTTTTTAGGCAAAATCTCTTTGGATCCCACGTCGTATGGCAAAGCTCCTATAACAGACAAGCCAGATCAATTTGACTGAAGGTTTGTTGTCTCTTTTCTCAATTCCAGTTTGAATGCTACTCAATATATTTTGACATCACAGGTTAGTTCAAGTCGCTGAAAGAAGTTAGGGGGGTTTAAAGGAAATGAAGTTAGAGTTTTGTTTTAATATTGACGTGCACCCTTTGCTACTTTCAGAAAAATGACTTACGTCTCTGCATTAAGAACATTACAAAAGTGGATAAGCAATATATTTATGTATTCGTAAGCTACATTTCAGACGCGCATTTTGATATGTTTTGTGACGTTTTGCATAAACTTATTTGTAGGTAAATAATTTGTGAATCTGTCTTTAAAAACGTGTTTTGTTCTTTTTTTTTTTTGGGGGGGGGGGGGAGGAAGAAAGGGGGCTGCTTCGTTTTTGGTTTTTTTGGCATGAAACATATCATTTCATTTTTTAATATTTGGTGTGCTTATTTTAAATTGTCTATAAAATAAATGAAACAAAAATTAGCTACGTGCCTGGGTTGGTGTGACATTGGCGGCTGCGCAGATTACCATAATGAAATTCCGGCAAAGTCCAAGTCTCGAGCTTCTCAATTTCATATCTCTGGGAAACATTTAGCTACGGCGTTCACATATAGCCGAAGTTTCCTCAAATAAACATGACTTTCTCATATATTTCTTAGGGAAATATCCACAATATGACCCGGACAGTTATTGTAGGATCTGACATGGAAACACCTTCCACTAGAACGCTTCACTGGAAGCTCTCTGGAAAGTCTGCGTCATCGTCCGTCGGAAATTGCCTTGTACCTCTGTATAATCATTACCACCCCTTAAAAGGGTTCATTTTTCTCTCTAATGCGACCTAAATGAAAACGACCTCTGCGTGTTCCGGATTCACACTAGGTGTTAAGTTCCTTTTATTTATTTATTTATTTATTTATTTATTCGAATACCTACATCACCCAGTTCTGGGCATTATTGTAGGGGAGTAAGCCCTTAGGTCGAGTTTCCCTGTGCGGCGTTTGATCTCACCGTTTGTCTTGGCGTCCCCGTGCCAGTAAGTCATTCTGGTTGCCCGAGGTTCAAAAAACTTATATAGTTCGCGGAAGACAGAAAACTCGGGAAGCCCAATGTAATACATGCAGCATTTAGGATCCTCTCGGATGGTCTCAACTCTCAGCTGTGTCGCCTGCAGAACTTCAACGGTCTCTTGGAGGCGCTCATTCTCGGTCTGAAGATGCAGTATCATCTGCTGCATTTCCGCCAGTTTCAGGTCTCGCAGCCTGAGTGCCTCGGAACTGACACCCGCTGTGGTCGGGGCCATTGCAGCGTCCTGCTCCATTTCTGTAAAGGAATCGCACATATATAGGTGAAGATCATGGAAGCTGATGTTGCCGAGTTACTTCTTGCAGATACAGCAACAGATAGATACTTTAGGACCATGTTACATGTAGAAAAAGAACTAGCCGTCAGAGAACCAATAAAAAATTGCAAAGGCTTAGCTCGGCTATGCCAGGAGATACGTAGCGTAAGCTTAGGTAAAGCTGGTTATTCTTAGCTTTCCTGGTTGTCTAGGACTAGAGTGATTATCATGCTTATTGCTGCTTCAGTGACACACACATGGTATACGCATTATGTGACTACTTTGAGATCCGATGATGTGCGCCGTGTTGTTATGTATCAAGCAACCAAGCTGCCACCCAGAACAACCGGACAGCGCGAGCCATGATCTCGAGCGGGTGCATGCGCGCGGCGCGTGCATCGGGGACTGACACGTGTGACGTCACTGTTTCTCGCGCATGCGCAGCACGGCTCTCCAGGAGCCACGCGAAACTGCTCAACCTCGGCCAGTGTAGCTTACGCTACAAAAACATTTGTGTAAGGCACGTCAAAATATTAGGCACAGGAGAAAGCCAGCCCTCTGCGTTAAGTCCTTACTTTGAACCCTTTTTCTTCACTTTACGCCCGTAGAAATGCATTGTGAAAATATCTAAGCATGCACTGATATCACTACACCCCCATGTCGTTCCGAACGAAGCCCACGTTTGAAGCCAGCAAAATCGGACGCCATTTCCTTGGGCGTCGTCTGCTAAAATCAATGCTTGCCGAAGACGGTTAAGGCACACAGCAGCTGTTGGTAGTCGGAGCAAGTGAGGCTCACGAACAGGCCGCGCTATGCACCACCACCCCTTGCTTCCTTCAAGGAGTTGTAATCTAATCTCAGGATCGAGCTTGTGCCCAGCTTCGTCGAAACCGCCAAAGGTTTGGAGCTAAGCTACTGTATCAAGGAAAGACTAAAACAGGACTTAAGTGTGTAATAGAATTCTCTATGAAAACTTCATGATTCCTGTCGGTCGTTCTACACCCATCGTCATCACCTGTCATGGTGTATGCCTAAACTTGACAGTGCAATACTCCTACATGCATATTAAAACTGCCCTGTTGCTTACATAAAGGGCACAAATGACTACACTGAGTCACATATGCCACATTCTTACTTACACATAGGTTGCTGAACCCGTTTACATAGAGAGTATGCTGTAATAAAAGGCCAAGTACAAACAATCCACACCTTTGGGAGGTTGCTCTGAACATGAGGGCTCGCTGAACATCTCATCAGGTCCCCTGGAGGGCGGACAAGGGTGCACACTTTTGGCTGCCGCCATCATGAAGTCAGCGGGAGGTGAGGGCTGGCCCGCCAGCTGCGAGGCTCCCAGCTGCGGACCGGTGGGGACTGCAGCGTCCGTCGGAGCTGGTTTGTTGTTCAAAGATAACATCTATCTTAGTGGCAAAACAAACAAGGCATGCATACGATTACGGCAAATCAGCTGCATCAGACAATTCACACCTTCGGGGGGTTGCTGCGAGCATCCTCCTTGTGTGAGCAAGGCAGCCGCCGCTGTTGAGGGCTGGTCTGCCAGCTGCGAGGCTCCCAGCTGCGGGCTGGTGGGGAATGCAGCGTCCGTCGGAGCTGGTTTGTTGTTTAAAGATAACATCTATCTTAGTGACAAAACAAACAAGGCATGCATACGATTACGGCAAATCAGCTGCATCAGACAATTCACACCTTCGGGGGGTTGCTGCGAGCATCCTCCTTGTGTGAGCAAGGCAGCCGCCGCTGTTGAGGGCTGGCCTGCCAGCTGCGAGGATCCCGGCTGCGGGCTGGTGGAAACTGCAACGTCTGTCGGAGCTGGTTTGTTGTTTAAAGATAACATATATTTTAGTGACAAAACCAACAAGGCATGCATACGATTACGGAAAATCAGCGGCATCCTCTGGAGAGACGTTTTTTCTATTCTTATATTTTGTGTCTGGTGCAGGCTACTTCAAGCCATGCACAGGGTCTCAGGAGTTACTTTTGGTACGAGACGCTTTTGGACCACTTTTTAAAAGACATTTAGAAAAGCTTGCACTGCGATTTAGCTTTTAGCTGCCGAAAAGCTGCAAGTCACAGTTTCTATTATAAATGTCACGGAAAGCAGAAACGTTTCCTGCTTTCCGTGTAGAACGGAATAAACGGACAGCAAAAAAAAAAACATTTTTCACAGAAATACAACCGCCCTTTCGCGCTTTCTTCTCCATCGGTCCGCAAATCATTACACATCAAAGAGCCGCCTTCAAGTAAAACAGCTAGCTTCAACGCATGAACACGACACGGCCAAGAAATAGCAAGAGTACAAGAACTAGCGCAAGTTTCAACTATCGTCACTTCGTACCTTCGGTGTACGCGCGATTTTTCCATCGCATGTAGCGAGCGAGAGGCGGCGGCTGTTTTTTGGCGTGCTCGAACACGGTCGGAACGAAGTCGGGGTGGTGCTTGTCCAGCATTGGTTTTCCTGTTTAACGAAGCCGCAATGTAATGATCACGCAGCTTTCTATCGTCTTCTATTTACACTTCTTAGGAGCGATTAAAACGACTTACCAGTGACGAAGTGAGCGCCGCATAAGCGGGATTGCTCCCTTGGCTCCCAAGGCTTTTTTGGGTCCGTCCAGCGGGCCCTCTTCACCGCGCGATTCCACGCCGCTCTACGATCGGGGTCGTACTTCGCCGACGGGAAACGGAAAAAACTTTTCCCCTCCCCTGGCTTGTGCCAATTTCGGCACTCAAAGGCCACACAATTCGTTGGCATCGTACAACCTCACCACGAGCCACAACTCGCCATTCACTCACAGTAAAATGACGATGTTGTTTTCCTACCGGCCTAATTTGGCCTGGCAACATGTGCGTCGCGTACTCTCAAACCGGAATACCCGGAAAGAGGTGGATTTCAGGGCAGCAAGCTCTACAATGAAAACAGGACGACGAAGTAACAAACAGCGTAGCGTTTTTTTTTTCTTGTTTTCGTCTCGTCTTCCCCTTTTTTAGAGTTTACTAGCCTGCACTCCTTTATTTTCACTAACACACCAACCAACAAAAAAGAGCCCCTTAAAAAAAAAAAAGAAACAAATAGCAGCGAGAGAGAAAAGTGGCAGCATATGCACCGTCAAAACTTTGGAATGCCCATTGTCACTTGGTTTCAACGCGTACCTACTTGACTTCTTTGATGGCTACAATAGGTAATGTTTATAACCTTCTGTTCAACACGTGAGTCGTGAAAGTAATGAGTTCTATAGCCAAGCTCTCGCTTCATGCTTTTTTTTTCAAGAATGATTATTAACCTCCAACTTCAAGCGTGCCATTAAGGTCTCCAATACAGTCGGCACATTCACGTCTTGCAGCATCGTCGTCCCTAGGTGAGAGTGATGTTGTGGCGAACGACGTCGGTCTCTTTGTCGCAAGCCTCGACTTCGAGCAAATCTCCAGCCTGTGCGGAGCATTCGTTTCGTTAAGTAAACTGCCTGGGCAAGTTCTGGTTTGCGCACAGATGGGGAATGCTCATAGCCCCAGTACGCATTGCAGTTTTTATGTTTAATCGTATTCTAAACTTCCCTATTCTCTGGCATTCTTCTGTAGTTTTTTAGTCATTGGATGCCCGAGTGTTCTGCAGAGAGGTGTACGCACCGGAATATTTTGTGGGCCTGTCTGGACTTCTTTGTTCAAATCCCATTATAATATTTTATGATTGCGTGTTTTCTTTGTTCACCGTTAAACTTTTCCTCGTTAGATATTGAACGAACGAGATGTGGCGAAAAAGGGTGAATTTCGGTCTTCTAAGAAATAAGAAAATAGTAACTAAAATTGTGTTTATTCAATTTCTTTTCCTCCCTCTCTCTCTTTCTCATCTTTTTTTTCGCATTTTGATTGGTTTGAGCAAACAAAAACACCTTCTGAACATTTTTTTCCTGGCTACGCCACTGCCATTAACCAATAATAATTGAAACAGCCCGTTCAACAAAGGTATTCAAGGCCGCCAAACAGTAGGTGTGGACGATAGCGTAAAGCGACACAGCTCTGGCATCCGAAATTAAAGTTGTTATCCAGCCGTCCGTTTCTAGTTTGGACATGAACCATGCAAACATCACGGCTTTCCCCCGCTCTAATCTCTTTCCTCTTCTTGCTTTCAGAAGACTGGTGTCGATAAAAATAAGGGGGGACTTCCGACAACCAGCAGGCCGTGTGAGTGACTGTCTGCAGGCTTGTGATGAGGAGAGTTTAACCTGCCCAACAACACAAACAAAAAGGTGTTTTACCCGGCAAAAAAAAAAAAAAAAAAAGGACTAAAGTCTAATGGAGTGCGCGTAGCAGAGCGCGTTGAAAACTACAGAATACACAGAAAGAATAAAACACATGAAGGACGAACATAGAACTGTGTGTGTCTGTGTTCGTCCTTCATGTGTTTTGTTCTTTCTGTGTATTCTCTAACGTATTGGGCCATATGTCGGTGATTCGTCACGGCACGCCATCTTGCTTTGTCCTGTCTGGAGGATCAATTGACCTGCGAAACTTCGAGAATATGAAGTATTTGAGATCTGTTCCACTCGTGACATAATTTGCAACAGATGAACTTTCACTTCGTGGGTTAATGCTGCATTGAATTGTTTTAGCAAGGCGGAAATGTCAGTCATATTTGGCCGTACACTATATTAGGTTGGGTTCTTAGAGTTATCACTCTTGTCAAATAAAAGCTTTATAATATTCTAATAATATACCTCAGTCAAAACTGCTTGGCCATGCCACAGTCGCGCAGTCGGCGAAATGTTGACGCCAAGAAGTCCCATCCCCTTTCCTTCGATGGCTGTTGAGGCCACCTTGTTTCTGTCGACCGAAAGGACTATCCCTGGAGTGTCGTGCATGCTCGCTGCTGCTCTAAAATTTAAATTACTTCATTGCATAAAATTACCATTAAAGACTAAAGTCCACCCGAGGAGGCAGCCAGCACTTGGAGTACGGGCTTCCGCCTTTTGGTTGCCTCAGGTGTTCGGGGTGTGTTGACATTAAGCCGAAAAATAACTTTGACTTTAAATTTGACCTTTTAACTCCTGCTTTGTACGCACCTGATAGCCATGTGTCGCTAATATGAGTGCCACCGTTAAACAAAACAGTAATTCATAATGCAAGTAGCCCATAATAATGAATCAAGGTCAAGATCTAAATAATAAATAACAAGCGTTGCTTCAGAAGACACGGTCCTACATCCTCTCAAGTAGAAAAGGAAATGTCATTACTTTCTTTTTGTGCCCAAGGGGTACAGATAACATACGAATGTGCTTCAGGCTTGTAATCCGCGCCTGTGAAACACATGAGGGTAGGAGGGAAAGTGGACGGTTTCGATCCACTTTTCCTTCTCGAATACAAAGCATGGGGTTAGCATTGTTAATGGCGTGCTTTATCTGAATGCTCCACGAAAGTTTGGATATTGTGTGAATACCAAGGTATTCGTAACAACACACGGACTCGAACAAATGAAGCATTCTTCGGTGCACAGGTCTTATACCTTTCTGAGGAAGGGCAACCAACATAAGACAAGAGTCAAGCTCTGGGTGTACTCTGTGACCCAAGTGTCTTTCTCGCCTTCATTTTACGATTAGCAGTTTTGTACCATCTTCAGCAAGCTTGTGTACATATTGATGAGAAAAAAATGCATGTATTTACGTAAATTGTTTGCGATGAGCGCGAGAGGCTATCGCTCCGTCTTTCGCATTTTTTTTTTGGTTCGAGACTGTACAATACGTGTATCATAATTTCAAGAAAACATCTTACCTGGGTAAGGTGTAACAAAAACGAGAGCGTGAATTCACTACCTAGCGCGGTGGTCTGCTAACGAAAGGCGTCTGGGTAACGCAACTGCCGAGAGATGCATACTGCATGAGAGTTAAACTCATGTCGCCTACGCCATACAACAGAACAAGCACTCTCGGCGCCAAAAAGTCGTCAAAGGCCGAACCAGAGTCAGGTACGCCCGTGCAGAAGAGCGTGAGAATACGCGCAAATAGAAAGTAGAGGGCGCTGTCGGGCGCCATAGTACTTGAAAACGCTTAGACAGTAATGCTAACTTCTCCGTAGCTTTATACGTTCCATTTGGCTTGTGAGTTGAGACTTGAGAGTTGCCATTCTATCTAAAGCACGGCCGAGAGCCCGAAAAACTTTCAAACGACGCCTTTTCCCCGGCAGTCGGCAACGACACCCACCAACGTCACCGACGCAGGAGTAGGAGGCAGAACGGGAGAACCGTTTTTGAGCGCGAGCCCATAGGGCAGTGGAGCGCAGAGTACGATCACACTGTTAAGAGGATGTACATGGCACGTGACCCTATCACGTGGTGACGCCAGTGACTTCAGGCAAAGCCTCAGTTCCAGGAAAAATTCGATGTTATTTCTGTTTGTGTCGTATTGTGTTTTCGTTACCGTGGCTCCTAGAGTTTGTGTGTTAGGGAAGGTGTTTGGAGTCTTTGCTTACGTTTTCGCAACGGTATTGCGCACGTACGATCGTACAATGAATGCGCTCAGTTGTGCAGTTCCGCTTTCACGGCAGTTCATGCGCGGTTTATGTTGTTGAAGGGTGAAAGCACCTCGTGCCTCGTCACGGAATGTTAGTATTACGAGAATTACCCGAAAAGGTTTGTCGTGGGAGCGTGCGCGGGGGGGGAGGGGGGGGGGGGGAGGGGGGGGGGAGGGGGGGGAGGGGAGGGGTTAGGTGAGACAAGCAGACGGCGGGATACGTCGTTTTAGCGACCCAGATTGCCAATGTCCGAGACTGCAACTCGATCCTGAAAACACCAGCTCGCTAGTTTCTTGAAGTTATTTGTGATTTA